GCTTAAGAATTTAAAGTTGATTTTTTAAAATTTCTCTCAAATGACGCCCCTTGTACCGTTTCGTCCAGTTCCATTCTGTTTCGCTGTTTCGCAAAGTAGCCATTTTGCAGTATTGTAATTCTCCGACTTAATATCTTGAATGTCAATTTGAAATTTTAAGAATCATAAGATACATCTTTTCCTTTTTGGTATAGAAAAGTTACTTGTTAATATATATATCACATAAAGAACTACTGATTTAGGTAGTAGGTACGGTGGCACAAAGGTGACATATGTATGTTTTTATTTATCTCGTGTACACGAAATACTATGTCGTGGTCACGAGTTACTAAGTCTTAGCCACGAGATAGTTAAGTCGTGAGAACGAGAAACTATGTCGTGGCCACGAGATACGAAGTCCTGGCCACGAGATAGTTAAGTCGTGGGAACGAGATACTATGTCGTGGCAACGAGTTACTAAGTCGTGGCCACGAAATAATTAAGTCGTGGGAACGAGATACTATGTCGTGGCCACGAGAAACTATGTCGTGTCAACGAGATACTAAATCGTGGCCACAAGAAAATTAAGTGGTGCGGACGAGATACTAAGTCGTGGCAACAAGTTACTAAGTCGTGGCCACGAGTTACTAAGTCGTGCGTACGAGATAAATAAAAAAAACACTCACACATGTCATCTTTGTGCCACCGTTAGTAGGTAATAGAAATAATCGGCAAAACTAATAGTTATAATAATAATTAGCAAAATTTCATGCAAAAATAGTTTGTGCGTATGTACGACACACAGCCCAATATCTTTTATGCATGCTCAAAATATTTTCCTGAAGAAACCCCGTATCTGTTCATTTTTGCAATATTTTTGTTACTTTACACTAGCTTTTTGAGCTACATTCTATTCTAGAGTTTCTTAAAAATTGGTAAAGATCCGTAAGAAAGTGAATCAGTGTTGCAACGAGCTTAATGCACATGTGCCATTAAATCAATATAGGCCAAAAGAATGGTATTTCCCCCCCCCCCCCTCAAAAAAAAAAAAAGAAAAAAAGAAAAAAAGAAATATAATAAAAACATATAAAACGACAAAGAAATCGCATAAATGTACGTGCATTTGTCACCACTCGCGTAGTACGTAGTACATCTATTTGGTCCCATGTCGTCTAGAGGTGATTTGATAAGTTTTATTAACAGAACATTACATTATAACTTGAACAATTGTCCTTACTGTGCCTCAGACTTGTCTTATTTCTTGACCTTTGACACCTTTTGTAATAAACAATCAAGTATTTTTTTCTTATCTTTTACCCACCAAATACCGAAATTTCCACTTTGTATTGATATTCTACAGAAAGTCTAGCTTGCGCGTGCAGAAATCCTGCTTTATGTGAGCATGCGCTGGGATTCAATGCGTAAAAGATTTAATTATTCAATTATTATTCATAAAGAAATACAATTGTATTTTGTCCGTAAACAAGCTGTTCAGCTTAGATAAATAAGGCTAGATCTTGAATTCATAATTCAAAAAATGCCATTGCAATACTTATGTTAGTAATATTTAAAAATAGCTTGTGATAGTTTGCATGTTAGACGCTCGGTAGAATTATATTGACATTGCCTTGCGCTGACCAGTTATATAACATTACTACGTTTTTATAACAGTACTACGTTTTTAGGTGGGTGCATTCATCTTATGGGCTTACACTAGTCTAACAAGGTCAAATCAGTATGGTGTTTTTGTAGTTTTTTTTGTTTTGTTTTTTTTTTCTCCAAAAATCCGGCCATTGAAACTTGACAATGCATACTTTGGTTCTACTAAACAAAGTTTCAATGGCCGGATTTTTAATAAGATCAAATTAACATAGGTGTAAAATATGGGCATGTGTCTATGTATCTATTAAGTGGCTAATAATTAAAATTATTGAATTATGAATTCAAGATCTAGCCTTATTTATCTAAGCTGAACAGCTTGTTTACGGACAAAATACAATTGTATTTCTTTGTTTGTAAACTCCAATGTTGCATTTTTTTTCGATTGAGTTTGCCGACTTAACATTGTAAAAATCTATTTCCACAAAATACATCTTGTTAAACGACAAAACATTAACTGGTTTTCTGAGAGTAGCAATACCAAGTGTTCATCGTAACATGCGGAATACTCATTAAGTATACGCCGACAAAACAGATGTTACTTTCTTAGCTTTACATTGTCAAACCATCATGATTGGGATCAGCATAATCCAGCTCCACCCGTTTTCCAATAGGAGAAAAATAAGTTCCGCCCAATTTCCCGCCAACTTCATCATCGTAAATTAACGTTTTTAAATTAAAATGAAAAGCTAGCTCAAAACAAAATGTTGTTTGTGCCATTAAACTTTAGTTTTTGCTCATTATCAGTATAAACGTTGTTACTTGGTTACATTATATCTTAACCAATTTTGCATTACTTGAATATCCTGTACTAGAATACGTTTTAAACAAAATCAGAGGATATTCAAAGTCAATTGTAATGCATTTGATGTGTGTGACATATATAACAGTTTTATTTAATTTGACATATTTTTGTACTGTTATTACTGTACAGTAAGAGTTACATCTCTTTATATTCTACTCTCGTAAAAATTAGCTCCGTCTATTAATTATCGTCTATTTCCGTGATAATGCCATATATGGAAGATATGGAAGTTGCAAAATCGTTTACAAATTTTAATCGCGTTAGAATATAAAAGGGAAGTGTGGTGTTGTCAGCCGGAGAGTGTTGCAGTTACACTATCAACGTCATGATGCACTGCATTTTAAAACGTGTTGTGTACGTTCTATCGCTTACATTTCTACATGTCGTAAATTTCAAGTTATGCATTTCTAAATACAGTTTGCACTTTATCTAAGTTGCATGTTAACAGCTTCCATTTTATCAAATGGAGATAATCAAAACGCTTAATACCAGTGCAGTATGTAACTCTCGGATCGACAATTAGATTTTTACTAATCTGTTTAGTAGAACCAAAGTATGCATTGTCAAGTTTCAATGGCCGGATTTTTGGAGAAAAAAAAACAAACAAAAAAAAAAAACTACAAAAACACCATACTGATTTGACCTTGTTAGACTAGTGTAAGCCCATAAGATGAATGCACCCACCTAAAAACGTAGTACTGTTATAAAAACGTAGTAATGTTATATAACTGGTCAGCGCAAGGCAATGTCAATATAATTCTACCGAGCGTCTAACATGCAAACTATCACAAGCTATTTTTAAATATTACTAACATAAGTATTGCAATGGCATTTTTTGAATTATGAATTTTGTTAAGATGTCGGTATTGTAGTAGTGAATTAAATGTATGTCTGTCTGTCTGTCTGTCTGTATGTCTGTATGTATGTATGTATGTATGTCGGTATTGTAGTAGTGAATTAAATGTATGTATGTATGTATGTATGGATACAAAAATGGAGTTTCGCTGTAATACAAATTACGTGGGTGGATAAAATATACATGCACTCTCGTTCCATTAATCTAATAAGATCAAATTAACATAGGTGTAAAATATGGGCATGTGTCTATGTATCTATTAAGTGGCTATTCCAAAGCAACCATCCTTAATTGCTTAGTGCAATGGTACCGGCGCAAGATAATGACGTCATTATGACGTTTTGATTTTGACTACTTACGTATACGTTTCTTTTCAAAAACTCGCACCCAGCGCGCATGAGCCATTGTTATCTTCAGCTTGTTTCTCCAAATTGAATGGATACTGCCATAACTAGCGCCAAATTATGGTGTAATATCTTTTATCTAAGGATAAGGTCCCCCTCGATCAGACTGTTCACTATTCGTTTCCTTCCTCTCCCAGTGTTGGCTTTAAGAGACTCCCTACCTTCCGAAAATCGTTTATAACGCTTACAAATAAGAGATGTGCATACATTAGAAGATCGATAAGCATTTTTCAACATTTTCATTGACTCTTTTTGTGTTTTCCCTAAATCCTCACGAAACTGTAAAATTTCACGGTTCTAAACCTAATCATACCGGATGACGTGCAATATTGAAACGACGTTACATATGACATAAACACTTAAGCCGACATTGTTTGGTATAGTTTTTTGCCAATTTATGGAGTCGACAGAGATATTAACACTACGCGGTGCAGTCAAAAAATAGGTTGCGCCTAGGTAACCTAACCTGGACTAATAAAACTCTAAATTATTTTAAACCCTAAAAAATTCATCAATGTAAACCATAATATCTTTAAACATGTAATTGTTTAACATGTGAACAAAATCTCATTGATTTACGTGGTAAAAGTCCATGTATTTTGTTATCCACCCTCGTATGTTTCATTGTATTTCTTGTAATAAAATGTAAACTTTAAACATGTACATGTTATTTATTTCTATGATTCATTTCTTTATTACGATAGTGCGCAGTATATCAGTAATACAAGGACTTAATATTTCTTTGTCTTACAGTCAAATGGTTTCGTCCCTCTTTTTCCTTCATTGGTTAATACATAATTGTGCCTTTTTTGCTTGCAAATTTTTAAAGTCTTTAAAAACTTAAACTATTGCTGATTGTTTTCTTACTTCTATTATTGCAGAAATAAATTTGTATACTAGTAATCATTTTAGGAGTAACATAGCATACGGACTTCCTGTCCAGCTCGCTTAATTATTGGTACATGTTTTGAACTGGGAGAAAGACTCTGTCCGAATAACCAGAATTTAACCTGGTTGCAGTTTTATAGATGGTCTGGGAAATAACAAATATTACTTGTACTAAAGGGAATTAAGGACAGGAACAAGCTGTAAATTACCAACAGCATAAATGTTAGTTAGATTATACAGTTAGTAAGCTTAAGACGTACGCGGAAATCATCAGATAAAAATTGCGGGATTGGCCCATTGTACTGGTACACAAAATGATTCATAATACTTTCATTTACGCTAGTCAAAACATTTTTTATCAGTTCTCCTCTAGTTCTTTGTTTATTCACAACTAAATAAAAACACAAACACATATTTAGTTTTATTTTTTCGTTATATTTTCTTTCGAAGTGTCAAAGCACAAGGATTGCCTATCCGGCAAATGCTGTGAAATATGGCAACAAAGGATGACAAGTGGACGGCAGCAAGAGAAAATAGACAAATGAAAAAAAAAGACAAAACAAGTTAAATGTTGATGCTGCAAATCAAAGACGCCGACAAATGATATGAACAGTCAAATGTAAACTTGAAAATCATTCTCTATTACAGCTGAATATCCGACGCCGAAGCACTATTCAATTGTTTCTCCATGTTCTTGGTATGTGCTCGTTGTTTAATAATTAAGTTGCAAATTTTTGTGAAAAAGTAGAACCTAATGCATAAATTCACAAAGTAATGCCCTGTATGAAATTCTGAAATACTTGTCTGTTGCGACAAAGATTGAAAAGTCCGATCGAAGAAAAATATATTGGATAACAAGTAAAATTTAAATGATTGGTATACTTAAAATAAATTCAAGACAAAGACAGAGGTCAAGAAAAAATCATCGTTGCACCAAGAATATGTCCATTTAAAAATTGGTGCGGATTGCATAATGTTCGAATGATTTTGAGGACAAACTGTTCTGTTATTTCACAAATAGCAAAATATGTCTGTAATATCAAATAGTAGTTATGAATAAATTTTAACATATAATCAATTCTTAGTAACGTATTGTTTTCTTATTTATAAAAGATTAAACTACTTGATTACATACAAGCCTGTAATTATGGTATAGAACCACTTAATGTAATAAATAATCTAGGCAAAAGAGAACATTCGTCACAATCCTTTAAAATAACCTATTGTAAATATTTGTGATACATTTTCAAATAAACGTACTTTCTTCACTCAGTTAATCTGTTTATTCTTAAAATGTTAATCATTTTCATGAATTATCACACGTTTTGCCTGTTTTCCGTTTAGCTCGTATCGCCCCCCAAAAAAAATCTCCGTTACATATTTCAGTCATACCCCTTGTTCCCTGCCCGAATTTCGTTCCCGTCATTAGACTATAGACAGGTCTGTCTGAAACTTAATGCTGGCATACAGAACATCATATTTAATTTTGCGACGAGTTAAGGCGGAGCCGTACTTTAACAGAGGCGGAGCAAATGAAGTGAATGACACTGCCTCAGTCGTTACCTCTCTCAACCGTTAAGTTTTAGAACGGGCGACTAAAGACTGGCTCATAGGCACGTTATTTATTAGTTAAATAAAATGATGAAAAGAATATGATATTAAAACATGACACTATCACTTCAGTTAAACGTTTATTTTAATTCCTTAAATCTCGGTGACATGTTGTACATCAGAAAAGTATTTTTATTATAAAATTTGAAAACAGTGTAATGTTATCAAAACAAAAACAAAACTACACAAAAACAAGTCTTAAATTTTCCCATTGCTGAATAGGCGATTGCACGCGGCCTCTAATAATCTCAGCATTTGCATTGATCTTAAAACTCAATATAAAAAACGGCCTTTGTTGACACATGAATGAAAAGTCGATTTTCTTTACTGACAAGCTGGAACCGACTGGAAATAGAAATCAAATTCATTACAAAAAATGATAGTGAATTTGGACTTAGATTTTACATAATTCTTTGCTGCTTCACTTCCTTCTTGTAATGATGTATTTTTTCCGATAAAAAACTTGCAGCTCTGCATATGCACAGACACGACATTTTCCAAATTTACTGGGATACTGTCAACAAATCGACCGAAGGCTTCTACAGTCATAGTTGAGTTCAGCAAACAGATTCTCTCAATATCTTTTTGGAATTCTGCATCCAATATAACATGACTGTCACCAAAATCACAGTTATATAATGATAATCTCTTCAGATGTTTGATTGATGGAAGAACCGATAAAAGAGTCTTGAACGTCTCCACAGATGAGATTCCCAATAACGTCACCTCAAAAAGCCGAGGAGCATTTCTGATGTCACTCAGTAGTGTACATGTGTTATGTGCTACCCCGCTACTATCTTCAAATATTAAAGTTCCGAGATTTTTGTTATTTATTCTTGTTTCATGTTGTCCATATTCGTACACATGATGTAGACGTAAAAAGTCCAATTCATTGTGATGCAACAAGTTGAGTTTGCTACCCTTACATTCTCTTTCATGTTCGGAACATTGGATTTGAAAAAGTAAGATTTGGATCAAATCTGTTTTGTTTGATATGAATGCAAATAGATCCGTTATTTCTTGGTGTTTAAGAATAATATTGTAAAGGTCAATAGATCTTAAATTCGAGAACTTTAATTTACACAAGTCAAACATGCCCCGAGAATTGGAAATCGATAAGCATGTTAAAGTTTGTTTTGACATGTTCATACATTTTTCAAAATTCTCCATATCTGCATCAACAGCTACTAAATCTTCATCACTACGAAAGGTTATCGATATCTTTTCAACATTTTTCACATCGAACAGGTCGTCATGATATTTCTCACTTGCAATCGACTTCAAATTTGTTTTGTTCAAAGCAAGAAGTGACTGGAGATCTTCGGAATATGTTTCTGGTAGAAAAATGTCCTCTAATGGCAGTACTACACTTCTGCATCCAGACCGTTGACTTTCCTCTTGACATTGTAACGCAAGCGTTTGATAAGACTGCAGTATTTTTTCAGCATTTTGGACGACAGCAAAGTTTGGATCTGTTAAGATACTGAATGGTGGAAGCATGACAACAAATCCAAATTTGTATTCTGAATATTTTCTGTACATACATATCTGATTATCAGAAAGAAATAGAGCTTTTATACTTTCCGAACACCTTAATACAAGCTCGGGACACATACCGGACAGAAAGATAAAAACATTTTCAAATCTAAGAAACATTCTTAGAGTTTTGCAGCTGCTAAAGATTATCTTCACGCAATCGTCTTTATCTTCTTTCATAGCAATATAAACTGCTGCAAAGAACTCTTGATAGCTTTTGTGAAGAAAACTTATTTTAAGTTTTCGTTTTGAAAGCGTACCAACTACCTTATTCTTTGATAAGATACCTACAGACAGCAAATAATTCATTTCTGCTTCTGATATATCGTATATTGAACCTCTTGAACTTTCAAATATCAATTCCGATTCTCCTTCCTGTTTTCCAAAAAGCCCTTCAAAAGCTAAATGACCTAATTTATAAACAAGAGAAACGTGTTTTGTAAGAGCTTGTAATGGGGAAAAACATTCTGGAAGTTCACGATCAAGGTCGTCCTGAATTCGCCCTTCAATCTGATGGACAAGAACAGTGCACATTCCCTTATTTTCGGAAACTCTTCTGAAAAGCATCTCGACCGTTTGGCCATATATTAAACATCTCGATTTACTTAGGGTTATTTCTTCGAACCAAAGGCAAATTAACTGCATATGAACAATTGGAACTTGACATACTGTGTCTAGTTTGTTCTTGGTCACTTCGATTTGGAAAGCTTTTGGGTCTCTTGAAACTTCCAATTTTGTGTTCAAATGTTTAACTACCGAGTTTGCAAGCTCGTGGCAAGAATGTTTGTTAAGACCCCTTATTTCAATCTGTTGGTCAATTTCATTTGTTTTCAACCGATTACCTTCCAATTTCCAAGGTCGAGTTGTAGTGAGATAAATGCAATTATTTGAAGGTGAGCGATGTGGCAACTTACAATCTAGTGGACATGTTGTCTGCACCGTTGGGTGAGTCCATTCATCAAGCCCGTCTAAGATAATCAAACAAATTTCTTTGTCTAATATACGTGCAATTGTATCTGCCTCCCCAACGTCCTGGTACCGTTTTTGAATAATTTTTTTTACGTGGCATGATTTTGTTTCCCTTAGAGATACGTAAAATAGAAACGGAAATTGCTTCATAATATCAATATCTACTGTTGAAAAGTTGTGATCTTCTTTTTTACCTGAGTTTGCATGACACCATGCCAAAATCATTTTTTGACAAAACGCTGTTTTTCCTATACCTGCATCTCCGGTGACATAAATGTTTCTACATAGTTGTTCTTTTTTAAAGAATATGTCTCTGTATGACCTTATATTTGCGCTTTTGCTTTTGATATTATGGTGGTCTACTTGTTTTAGAGTAGGCATGGCAAAGAAATCTAAAAGTTGAGCATCTTCTTCGTTTACCAATGCTGATATCGGTAATGTTGAGCATTGATGTTGATATGAAATAATAAGGCGTTCAACAAAATCTGAAAAAAATGTAAATTGTTATAATAGACATGAACATCGTTCAATACTTTTTAATACAAACTGTTAGAACAGCTAAAATTGATATAGTTTTGTCTAAGAAACATAACATACATGCACTCCTGAATGAATTCCGAGCAGCCAAACTGAGTACCGACAGCTGTAAATCAGTGTTGAAGGGCAAGTTAGTAGTTGTAATGCTCTGAGGCAGGGGAATCAGTGAAAACATTTTTCAAATTCATAGACCCGGTCAACCATAGACAATTCAAGTGCAGTGCTCGAAACACGGCCTAATCCCTAGATAGTAATATCTATCTTGCATACTGAAACTCGACTATTTTTGTAATCTTTTTGAATAAACATGCGGATATTGTCAATCAAAAGAATGGTGAATAGTAAGGCTTTCTATATTCACCTTCTCGCCATTTAGGTGCAGGATGACTAAATGTCGTAAGCTGTGACATCAAACATTCTACGTTGTCAGGGTTGTTGGATACAATTTCAATAAATTTTTGAAACAAGATACGTTTCTCAATTCTTTTTCCATCTGCTGTGACCATTACGTCATTTTCATCATAGCTTAATTCTCCGTTTAAAACACCTATCACATCTTGTGTAGCAGATATTTTCGATGTCTCTTTACATAACTGTTGAAAAAAATATTGGTGTATAACAATCAGCAAGGTATTTCTAATTCTATAAACAGTTTGGAAATTTAGAAAAACAGTTATATGAAATATGGTTCACAAGCATGTTATAATAAGCTTAACAAACATATTCATTGTTAATAAAAACAAAACTGTTAACATGTTTAGATAACCACTTAAAGCATACCTTTGATATTTTTTCCAATGCCGTATGTGTTGTTGCTTTTGATGCTATATACTTTGGGTCTTTAAGTATTGTCTCTAAAATATGTATATTCTCTACAAATTCGTTGTCGTCAACTTCAAATGTCGCTGAATGTCGAAAATGTCTGGAAATATCTCTTGCCTATATAAAGTTTAGACAATAGATTGATAATTTAAAAGCATAATATCTTATTGTTGCCAATAATTATAAAACTATGATACGCTGTATATAAAGATATATTATATTTCTTTCACCAACACTTGCCCCTGACCGCTGTGGCTTTCAATCAAAAAAGGACTTTGGATTCTTTCATGTGAGGCAGCTATCAAGCTGGCTTATTCAGCTACTCAAGTGCCCTTCCGAACATTTTTACATATAGAGTGCATGATTATACAATCAATGGGGAAAGGTATGTGATCAATAAGGAACATAGTACTCATACAACAATTCTTAGATATAAGGGGATGTTTCAATTTCTGTTTTATTCAACTTATTTTAAGGTTTAAGGGGAAAATGCGTGACATTTTTATTTTACAATTGTTTAAACGACATTTGCTCTTGTTTCATACGTATTATATTATAATGAAAAAAATATTCTATAAAAATAAGACCTTAATGTTTCTTTGGATGTCTGAACTTACTTTGGTAAAGAAATTCTTACGTATGAATTAAAAAAAATCCAAAACTTAGTTTAATGGCATAACTATCCCTTATTTTATATCAATTCACACATTATATACACTACTTATAAATTATAAATAACAATCAGTTTCTTATCAAACAGATTGAGAAGGTAACATCAATTTATAAAATGCTGGGTTCACAAAACATACGCTCAGCTTTAATTTTTTAAGTCACACCGACGCTGTAGTAAAGGGCATAAGGCGACATTATTTCCAGTTTTACTGGTGAACAAAGATCTATATTGCATCCTCCATGCATATTTGAGGCTTTTGAGTAGAACCAGCAACATTCTGTAAGCTTCAGGATATCTTCCTAACATGAAATAATTTAATTTCCCAGGCGGTATAGACAAGTGTTAGTGTTAAGTAGGAAAAAATGGTTCGATGTCATTGACCTTAACACTAGGGAAACGGATGCTCCAAAAGTTGTTTTATAACGCGATGTTTATCCTTAAATGAACGTATTTTGGTGTTGTTTAGTTGATGTGTTATAAGTAAAAAACAGAATATATACTGATTATTTCTGAAACAAGGTATGTGATGTACCAAAAATAAAGGAAGTGCAACCTCTGTATAGCGATCAGCCTTTCAAACAACAGTACCTGAATTAACATACACTAAATGTATAACTCAAATTTACAAGACATAATTATTAGCGTTTTTACAGAATTGAATCATCCAATAATTTTGAACCTGTATGATATTTGGTTCTTATTATTCAAATAAATACTTCAGTTAATCTATGTCTTTGATCTATCTACTTACCTTGCAAAATAAGTTGCTTCCCCTGGACAAGTTCTCATTTACTATGTTTTGGAATCCTTTGTAATTTAGTATCACGCTTATGACTCCATTGAAATCTGTTTCCATAAAAGAGGTTTGTTTCGTATACCCTTCTATCGGCATAAAACACTTGACAATTTGCCAAGAGTCATCATACCATTTTCTCGCATCTGTATTTTTCCAAGACGGGTCATTGTACCTGTGTACCTGCCTAATCTTATCTCTCACACGTTCGCATAACCCACTTTCAGGACAGGATCTATGATATGCTGAACATTTTTTCTTTTTGCAGTGATTAAAGACAGGCTGGCACACGATCTGGTCAGTTGAACACGCTTTGCAACAACTATTTGGAGGTAACTTCAATATCTCTAAACTATCAGAAAACGCCCTTTGCCTGAATGTGTCTATTTCAGCTAAAATAATATCATGGAGTCCTTCTTTTGTATACTTTAACGCTAATCCAGTTTTTATCCAATTATGGAATTTATGGTTGTCAATATTTGAAATATAATCCGACATTTTATGAAGGTTATAATAGTTCCGAAAACAAAACTGGATTGTTTACGTCCGCCATCAATTATATGTGTCGTATAATAAATAGTACAACGTGATAAAAGAAGCTTTAAGATATATCCAGCGAATAATTGGCTTAGAGATATCACCACGTGATGTTAAAAGCTATTATTGTTTAGTTAAACATATATTATCATAGATTTTGCTTGTAGTAGTCCAAATCAAATTGTCGTATATTTTACATAGAAATTTGCGTATAAACTTACAAAGAATTATCTTAGTTCTTAAAAACTCATGTTGTTATGATAAATTTTCCTGGTAACGAATGCGCCGCATGCAAAACTTGATAGTTTGAATTGTCTTATAAAAAGTTAAACACATATGCGTTAAATCAAAGATAAGACATGCTAATAACAATTACCATTTCATTGTCATGTTTGCATAATAAGTAGGTGCATGACCTGTTTTTATAGAATATCGTTGTTAAGGGCCTTTTCCGGGAATGGCTGAAAATTGTTTTATCCGCTGGAGTACAGAGTGCAGCGTCTTAGTCAATAAACATGTACACTTTGTTACATTCATGTATAATACTGTTTTGCTTAAAATGATTGTTAATAATCTAAGTTTGTATTCAATTACTACTTATATCTTCTAAATATATCAAGTGATCGAAAGCGAAAAAAGGGAAGTTTTTGCAGTTGACAAAAAATAAATATAGTAGATAAATAAATAAAACGATAATACAAACAAAAGACGACGCATCTAGGTAAGGTATAGTCTGATTTTATTGACCTGTCAATTATACATTATAGCATTCATTTTAATATTCGATCACAATTCGTTTCTATCCTTGAAGTAAAGAGAATTAATATGGAGTATGTCACTAATGTTTTGAAAAAGTCACACTGGCCTGTATAGTTCATTGTCACATCTGCGACAACACGTACAGTCGGTTAAGTGGTTACCTAATATATGAGAGATCTGTGGTTCGATACCTACTTTTGCCGTTATTTTTGAACTTCTCCTTTCTTTATTTTGGTGCAAAATCGCTACACGGAAATGATGCAACTAAGAAACATTGTTTTTGTTTTATTTTGTTTTTAAGGCAATGAAATGACATTTATTGATTTTAATCGTGATGAATTTTAAATGCAAATTCTTAATCCATGTTATAAGACTATACCAAAACAACTGCAAAACATATTAAACGAACGTCATCAAAAACGATGTTGAAAATAGATAAGAATAAAACATGGGCATACGCGGCCCCCACCTAACGGCATGATATTATAAACCCGTAGTTTACCCAATTGCGCTATAGCGGTCAGTATAACTATTTTAATCAGGCCCTTTGTATTTTATTATTTATTATTTAATTTTATTTATAATTTTTTATACATATTTATATAATTTCCATGTTTTTATTCACGAGAATGATATAGTATAATTCAATTCAATTTAACAATTAAAAAAAAGCCTTAAACCTCTGTGGCAGTCTCAGTCGCGCTGGCGCTGGTGTGTTCGTCTCCAGTGCTAAGAGAGTACCTCAATATGTTAATACCACGGAGAAATACATGGCCAAGTTTTCATCAAGTGGCTTAACCAAAAGCTAATCATAAATCTTCCAGAACACACTGTCATGGTAAAAGACAACGCATCTTATAACACTATTTGCGATGACCAACGAAATCATGTTCAAAACATGTGATGACGTCCTTCTAACAGCGCCACAACATACACATCAACCTAATAGACCAGGACTCGCGTGCTCGCAATAATTGATTTTCGTTGCAAGCTCAAAAGCTCAATTGACTACCTGTGCATTGACATTTTTTTTCAGTTTTGCATTGAAAAAATATATTATTTAAATAAATGGAAATAATGGGATTTGAACCCGCACCTGTATAGTTGATAGACCAGCGTGCAACCACTACACTACAATATCACACTGCAAGTAGTATGGTCAATAAGTATTACAATACTATCCATACACACATGACTTACCTTTTCTGAAGTGCACTGATCCATGCTATGTTAACAACGGTTCCGAAATAAATAAACTTCAACATTATTTATCATTTGGTCTATTTAATATGTTTTGATAATGTGTGTTTACATTTATGAGCTTTTTTTGAAATAATAAGTTTTGTCAACCACCCATATTCAGAACTCAAAAAGAGCCTAATTTAGTAATATTATGGTTACTTTTTAATGTCAACTGTAATAGATACCAGTCTAGAGATTGTCAAAATCATTCATATTGATTCTACAAAACAGTTTTATGCATAAAAGGCGTCTAGGCTGACCTTGATTTTATCAACAGTGTAATAAATTGAAAACATATACGAGGAGCTAGTCAATTTATGCATTGTTTCAAAACGTAACACCGTCAGATTACCATTTGTTAAAAACCAACATCTTAGGTTATACTCTCTGATACTTTCGTACTAGCAAGATTATCGTTTTTGTGATGCTGGTTTGCATAGACAGATATAAAAATGGTTTCACATCCGCCTCATGTCCGCCTATGAATATGGAGGAAAAATCAATTTAACGAAAAAAAAGAACGTTTTTTAAGTGTTCTTTGAAAATATATTAGCTGCGTAGAAAATTCTAATACGAGTTTTTTTATAAGTTGTTTACTATTTCATTCATTACATCTTGTAAACAGGAAACTTATATCAAGTGTAATAAATTGAAAACATATACGAGGAGCTAGTCAATTTATGCATTGTTTCAAAACGTAACGCCGTCAGATTACCATTTGTTAAAAACCAACATCTTAGGTTATACTCTCTGATACTTTCGTACTAGCAAGATTATCGTTTTTGTGATGCTGGTTTGCAGATATAAAAATGGTTTCACATCCGTCTCATGTCCGCCTATGAATATGGAGGAAAAATCAATTTAACGAAAAAAAAGAACGTTTTTTAAGTGTTCTTTGAAAATATATTAGCTGCGTAGAAAATTCTAATACGAGTTTATTTATAAGTTGTTTACTATTTCATTCATTACATCTTGTAAACAGGAAAATTATATCAAGTGTTCAATTATCAAGCACTTCTAAACATAAAAGCGCCTTATTGGTATAAATATACTGAAACTTCCTGGTGTGATAAAACAACAACAACAACATCATTGTTTAAGTTTGTGTCAAGTTTGCTTTTTTTTTCCTGATTATTTCTTATTAAGGTCGTACTCAGTTCAATGAACGCAAATAAGGATGGATACTTACTACTTCCGTGTATTTTTATCATTGTTTGCCGTTCCTGTAAGCTATCAAAAAAAAAAATTCTTGAATATAAAACAATGAATTTAAATCAGGAACAGATTTAGAAATAAAGATGAGTCAAAATATTTTCTTAGATAATTAAGTTTTAAATAGAAGTCTTGTAAAGCTTTAACCGATATAATCAAAGCACTGAAAGTAAAAGTACTGATGGGGAAGCTGTGACAGAATGTCTCAGACTTACAGTTTCTTTTCTCTTTGCTTTAAATGTGCTGTAATTTCAATTATTACCAAAATAAGAAGATCTGTTCATTGCGCCGTTGTGTTCAACCATTCACATATATGGTTAATATGTAGGACTATTCATTTTGTTAATATTCCAGAACTTTTCATTGAGGTCTACATTCGGACTGTTAATCATGCAAATTTTGAAGAACCGAAACTGCCAATATAAAATGACATACCAGCAAGTATGACGACTGTTCATTATAAGATCACAATACCACGGTTCCTTATCACAATTGTCTAGGACTGTTCATCATAAATACTTTACGTCATTTTAATCATTGAATTATAAAAACAACTGCAGGTTATGCGACATTTTTATTGAACATAATAATTATACATATTTACATGTGCCATAACTGAGATCAATTAAGATACTGTCTTGTGATGAGTATTTATATTCGTGCTCTACGGACAGAAAGTTGTCTTCTCCCTAAGCAAATCTCGAATAAAATCACGTTTCAGATAATTATTCCTATTTCATTACTTGTCGCTGACTTTGACGACTTCGGATATTGATTAAAGCTAAATATTTCTTAAAAAAAAATAATACATATTTGCAAAGCTTATATAAAATTGAACCAATCTAAGTTAAAATTGATCAGGAAGTTATATCTTTCATTTTTACCGCCAACACTCAACCAACTTATGGTAGTTTATCGATAGAATCTACATGTATTTTTAAACCTCACTAGCTTGAAATATGTACTGCGGAAAATCTGTTGTTAACAGGGTGTGCGGTTATTACGTAGGGTTATCCCTCGCAAATAGATGAGAACATCGAAGCGTCAGTGCTATGAATGGTGGTATAAATAGCGTGGTTTGAAAGTTTTTATTGAAAAAACAAACAAAACAAAACAAACAAAAAACAAACAAACAAACAAACCAAAAAAACATATTTTCTGTGGTAATTGAATTAAAAGTGTTGTAAAATGAATACGAAATTCCTCTTATGCCGCCGATTATTTTTAGAACACAAACATAAGTTTTTTTATTTTATTTATTCAAATTAACATAAATCACTTCAGCGCGCAGCAAATATCGTTTTCAAATTAAAGTTTCATAAAATATGTTGATGAATTTCCGATGCTCGACTGTAAGTCATTCGTATATACATGCGTTTTACTTTGTTTTGTTCTTATTCTTTAATTTATGTATCTGTATTGAAAATTTGAATTTTATTACACATGGACTATCAAATTATGATGCGTTGCCCACAATACGGGAAACGCCCTAGAATTGAATAGACTTTCTAATTACACAATACGGGGTAATTCATTTGATTGAAGACTGATCTTTGCGTCTTTCTCTGAAATAATTATTTCCTTGTTAAAACATATTTGACCACATATTTCTGTCATTTAACTGCTCACTATACTTCCGATTTTTGTTGTACCGAAACACATGTTTTTATTTGTGTTTTCTTTTCAATTCAAATCTATAATCAGTTTAATGAGATCACCACCGGGTAAACGACTACTAGGTACTTCGGTCACGTTTTTTACCCCAGATATTTGAAAGTTTCTATTAGGATTAAAATGAGCGTAGTTAACTAAACAACTGGTTGTATAAATCCCTTACCTGTCTTATTCTAATTATGAGATTAGTGGATACATTAAGATTTTCACCACAACATATTCCTAAACAAAAGAGCACATG